TGATATATAGATATTACTAGGGGCAATGCTATTGCAAAAAAACCCCGCATGGTGGTGCTGGAGTCGAGTTATTTCTAAAAATCGCCAATTGAAGTAATTCGGAGACACCAGGGATCAAAGTCAACCACTGTTGAATCAACCACTAAACAGCATAAAGGCAATTCTTGATGAATGCCTACAAATAGAACTTCTTCACGGACATAACGCTTTCGTTAGGTTATTTAAGACAGCAATGGAGAATATTAATTCTGACGACCACAAAACCAAAGGGCAATGGGACTTGTAGGTAAAAAATTATCTTGGCTGGGGGTTCGCCGGGTCTGCTAGTTTGTAATAAAATGACAAATACGACGTCGTTACCCTTTGGTTTGACACGATTATTACTTTAGTTTAACTAAACAGGTGACTAACGGCTCTGCTAGTTTGTAATAAAATAACAAATACGATGGCGTAAACCTTTGGTTTGACACAATTATTATGTTAGTGTAACTAAATTTGACTTTTCAAACAGGTGGCAAATCTCTTCGTAATATTTGCAAGTTAAAGCCCTCTTAAATCTCTTTCGTCTGACTCCCATATAGTGATACCTATCAATTACCTAATTCCTTTAATTCTAATTTGATTCTTTAAACAGGTGGGAACCCTCTACTTGCAGTTAAGAAATTAACCCTTTTCTTGCAAATTTCGATTGATACCCATTATTTCATAACTCATTTAACTTATTAAAAAAATTAATTAAAAGTTTTTTAAACGGGCAACTTTAAAAAAAAAAAAACAAGTAAGAGCAGCACTGTCTTCAGCTTATTCGAAGGCTTCATACCTTTCATGAACATCGGAAAATTTTACTTTAACAGATTAATGCATTTGAAAATTATATATACACAGCATACATAGAAAGTTACATATATAAACAAGTAAGAAAGTCTAAGTTCGGGCGGAGCCGAACATTAAATACCCGGCGTACGGTTGCCAGACGTACTTATTTTATCAGTACAGTACTGATTTTTCAACTCATGTATTGATTTTATTAATTTCTTCAGTCAGTACGCTAATATCCTGATTGTTGCAACACTGCCCGGTAACACACCACAACTGACGTAACAATATGGCAGCACAGAAAAGATGCAACTCTGCCAAACAAAGAAGTATACAAATGCGAACATTCTTTGATTTTCTTTTATTCCTAGAGTATATTCTTAGAAGTTTTTAAGCGAACGTCATTTTTGAATTCGCAAACGAACGTTACTGGTACTCTCTTTTATTTTTCCAAGCGAATCTAGTTGGTCAACCAAAGTAAGTTTCTAAAACGATGTAAATGAATTATATGTATTAACTTGGATTTCAATTTCAATAAACAGTTTTTTAAAGCTGCTGTAACTGCTCAAATTTAAAGAGTGCAACAGATTGTTTTAACTGGGCGGACAGCTGCTGTGAACGTTGGTGAACCAACAATTCTTTAAAAAATTTGTGGCAAATTTCTAAACATGAGCACCGAGGCTGATTGCGGCATTTGCAAAGATTCCGAGGAGGGAGACATGGTGCAATGTGATGACTGTGACAAGTGGTTTCACTTTCAGTGCGCAGGTGTCTCAGCTAGCATCGCAACGAGTAGTTGGGTATGCAATGAATGTACCAACAATAACACGGTCGTCGCCATTGAACCCAAATCGCAGCAAGAAAAGACTTCACAACCTCCGGACATCGCAGAGCAAGTAAAGAAGAGTGTGCAGGAGAGTGCTACGCTAGTGGGTAGTGTCCTAGATGTAAGATTGGAGCTTCAACGTCTGGAGAAGAGCAGCAAACAAATCTTCTGTTTCTAAGAAGGAAATATGAAATATTGCAGAGACATGGTGTCATGCCTGACACGAACATCAACGCGAATGCAACATTTTCTTGCATGTCTACTGTATTGAATGCAACAAATCAAAATATGCACGGTGGTAATCCTGTAACCAACAATATTGTACATGATGCGAATATACAAACAAGAGGAGCAGTGTCGACTTCACAAAATGGTCCAAGTACGCATGCTTCGACATTCATGCAAACAGGTAGTACTCAACAAGTGGATGGGTGTTATAAACCGGTGCAGGGCGGTAGATGCGTTAGTCGTGATAATGGCAATCACGAGTATGGTCAATATAACCAATCACAATATTGTCGTAATACGTCATCGGGAACGTATCTGCGACCCGAGCAAATACAAGCAAGGCATGCTATTCCAAAAGAGCTGCCAACTTTCAGTGGCAAACCAGAGGACTGGCCAGTCTTTATAAGTAATTTTGAAAGTTCAACTCGAATTTGTGGTTTCAGCAATGACGAGAACATGCTCAGACTGCAACGTGCACTTAAAGGTAAAGCATATGAATACGTGAGCAGTCAACTTTTACTACCAGAGTTAGTACCGGAGGTAATCGCTACGCTTCGAATGGTTTTCGGTAAGCCTGAATATTTAATTAACAATATTTTGGAAAAGATTCGTTTTTCGCCTGGGGTAAATGCAAACAAGTTAGAAACGCTAGTCAACTTCTCACTAGAAGTAAAGAACCTATTTTCAACAATACAAGCAGCCAGTCTCACGGCTCATTTGAACAATCCTATGCTTTTGCAAGAGTTAATTTGTAAACTCCCAGCCAAACTAAGTTTAGATTGGGCGGTGCATAGCTGTCATGTTGTTAACGCGAATATGGTTGACTTTAGCAAATGGTTGTTCGATTTGGCTCAGGCAGCTTGCACCGTATTAACCAAACCCTCGAATGTAAATCAGCAACCAGAGACGCGTAGGGCACATCGTGTTGGGTTTCACGAAGAAGAGAAACAACAGGGCAACAAAAGAAATGAATCGCACAAATGTTCACTGTGTGCTGAGGGTCACCATATGTCGCATTGTAAGAAATTCAAGGCAATGCAATATGATGACAAATGGAACACCGTGCGTCGCCTAGAGTTATGCCGATCTTGTCTTAAGAAGCACAATCCGAAATTTTGCAAAGAACGTAAGGAATGTGGTGTAAGTAATTGCACTGCAAAGCACCATTATTTGCTGCACATGCCGATTGAAAATAAAGAAATTGTTAAGGGCGACGATAACTTGATTGCCATGTCCAATTGCCAATTACAATTCATAGTAGGCACGCAGCTATTGATGTATATGCGTTATTGGATGATGGATCTGGGCCAACAATAATTGAAAACGACGTATTAAAGCTTTTACAGCTTCAAGGTGAAAAAAGTCAGCTGCGTCTTCGCTGGACGGATGGTTCTATTAGGGTTGAAAATGAATCCCAAATGATCAACCTACAAGTATCTGCAAAGGACAAAAATAAAATGTTTATGCTTCGGGACGTTCGAACAGTTAACAAATTAGACCTTCCTGAACAAACCTTAATTATGACAGAGCTGGCTGACAAATATAAGCATCTGAGCGCACTGGCAACCATTTTACAACCAGGCTGATTTGGCGCTGCGATAATATAACCTTGCCAAACAATTTTGAATCTACCTTGCGCAGACTTGTTGGGTTTGAGAAAAAGCTAAGTAAAAACATCGAGATGAAAGATAAGATTAACGCGCTCATACATAGTATGGAACAAAAAGGGTACGTTCGAAAGCTCAATGAAGTTGAAGTTAATCAAGAGTATAAACGCAAGTGGTATTTACCAATCTTTTCCGTAAGCAACCCTAACAAGCCAAGCAAGATACGGGTGGTTTGGGACGCAGCAGCTATGCATCAAGGAATATCCCTCAACGGGTGCCTCGAAAAGGGACCTGACCTGTTGCGACCATTGATTGACGTTTTGTACAACTTTAGAATCGGAAAGATTGGCATCTGTGGTGACATATGCGATATGTTCCACAGAATAAGGGTTCATAATGACGATCAGCATACGCAGAGCTTTCTCTGGCGCGATTGTGACACTAGTCGATCGCCGAGCACTTACGTACTCCAAGTGTTGTCATTCGGCGCAAATTGTTCTCCTGCAATCGCGCAATACGTAAGAAACAAAAATGCTGAAGACTTCGCCAAAGAGTTTCCGAGAGCGGTAAAATGGATAACAAAAAGGCATTACGTAGATGATATGCTAGACAGTGTCGATACGGAAGAGGAAGCAATAGAATTGTTATCAGGGGATGGCTGACCAATTCGTCTCAGGTTGCTAACGCCATAGGTGACAAAGGTTCGGATGATGAATTTTGTAACTCGGGAAGAACCCTTGACCAGGTGATAGAGCCAGAAAAGGTTCTCGGCCTATGGTGGCGAACGAGTTCTGATNACAAAGGTTCGGATGATGAATTTTGTAACTCGGGAAGAACCCTTGACCAGGTGATAGAGCCGGAAAATGTTCTCGCCCTATGGTGGCGAACGAGTTCTGATATGTTCACGTTTGACACTAAGTATACCAAAGCCAGCAAAGAGATTTTGCGTGGTGACAAGATACCCACCAAGAGATAAATTCTACGGCTACTCATGTCAGTTTATGACCCCTTAGGTTTCCTATCGTTTTACACTATACAACTAAAAATCTTTCTACAGGATATCTGGCGAAGTGGTGTCGAATGGGATGATGCGATTCCTAAGGAGTGCGAAGGGGCGTGGCGTCGGTGGTTGTCAATTTTCCAGCATGTAAAAGAGGTCCAGGTTCCTAGATGCTATTTCGGCAAAATATCTAACAGAAAATGTAAGATAGAACTCCATACCTTCGTAGACGCCAGCGAGGTAGCGAGTGCAGCCGTGTCATATTTTAGAATAACAAAGGAGGAAAATATTCAGGTCGCTTACGTAGCCTCAAGGGCCAAAGTTGCCCCGCTCCGACCTATATCTATACCACGAATGGAACTACTTGCTGCAGTATTGAGAGCCCGCCTCGCCAATGCCATAGTTAAAGGCCATGATCTCACCATTCACGATATGTATTTTTATACAGATTCACGCACAGTGCTGGCATGGTTGCACTCTGACCCTCGAAAGTTTAAACAATTCGTCATGTTTAGAGTCGCAGATGAACGTAGCGAATGCGGCCACGAAGTGGAAGAAAACAATCGAGTTTGGTCCGACAAGCACCTGGTTTTCTGGTCCAGGATATTTGCATTCACCGTGTGAGCAGTGGCCTATATATAATCATGAATCTAGTGTGACGCCCTCCAAAGATATGGAACTAAATCCGGAAGCAGAACATATTAACGTACATACAGAGTTCCGCCCCATAATAGATCCAACAAGATTCTCAAAATGGGAACGACTTGAACGAAGTATGGCGTATGTGAAACATTTCATCGACAAATGCAAACCTGAAGCAACGAGGAAAAAGTTTGATCATGAGCAAGGAAGGTCTGAAGGACTGACCGCTGAGGAGTTGCAATGGAGCCAACGGCTCTACCGTCTTGCACAAGCCGATTCATATTCTCAAGAAATCAAGATGCTTAAGAAGAATACGGACAGCGTCTTGCCAAAGCTAAGCGTTTTGCGGAAGCTGTCACCATTTATTGATAACGATGGGGTTTTGCGTCAAAGGAGCCGCTTAGAATACGCTCCTATTAAAGATTCTATAAAGAATCCAATAATATTGCCCAAAAATCACAAAATTACACAATTGCTTATCAACTGGTATCATCGCAAGTACAAACACGTCCATCACGATACTGTTGTTAACGAGATATATCAAAAGTTTCACATACCAAGCTTACGTCGTGCCCTGCGAACAGTTCGCTATGACTGCCAGCACTGCAAGTTGCGTAAGGCCAAGCCGCTGCCACCGAAGATGGGTTCACTTCCTGAAGCACGCCTGGCACCCTACACAAGACCGTTTTCGTACGTGGGAATTGACTTGTTTGGGCCATTCCTGGTTACAATCGGACGGCGTGCTGAAAAACGATACGGTGTTTTATTCACCTGCATGATATGTCGAGCCATTCACGTTGAAATAGCACATTCCCTATCCATGAATTCCTGTGTAATGGTTGTTAGGAATTTCATAAGACGGAGAGGAACGCCGGTGCATATGTTCAGCGACAATGGAACAAATTTTGTTGCTACAGAGAAAGAGTTACGAGAGGCTTTTCGCCAGCTTGATATTGGCGCTCTTCAAATGCAATTCACGTGTGTTGAAACTAAGTGGACGTTTATTCCTCCTGCTAGTCCACACATGGGAGGAGCGTGGGAGCGAATGATTCGCACATTTAAAGATGTCCTATATCAAATACTGACCCCATGAAACCAAAACTTAGTGACGAGAAATTGTACAACCTATTCGTAGAGGTTGAGAGCATTATGAACAGTAGACCACTCACGTACCTATCATTGGAGACCGCAGAACAGGAAGCGTTGACTCCGAACCACTTCCTGTTGGAAAGTTCGTCGGGACTTAAGCCGCCAGGTCTGTTTTCCTCCTCAGAACAGTACGTGAGACGGTCTTGGCGCCATTCACAGTACCTAGCCGATAGATTTTGGAAAAGGTCGGTAACAGAGGTGCTACCAACGTTAACTAGAAGAGCAAAGTGGTATGACGACGTTAAGCCAATTAGAAAAGGTGACGTTGTGATCATAGTGGATCCCAACCTACCCCGTTACACGTGGCCGAAAGGCAGGGTCGTGGACACATTCACAGGGAAAGATGGCCAAGTAAGAAGCGCTTTAGTACGTACCGCAACCGGCGAGTATCACCGTCCTGCTGCAAAACTAGCAGTACTGGATGTAATCGGGGAGAGAAGCGGCGATGATGCACCTGTTAAGGTATTAACTCACCCATATCGTTATACCGGGGGGGAGAATGTTGCAACACCGCCCGGTAACACACCACAACTGACGTAACAATATGGCAGCACAGAAAAGATGCAACTCTGCCAAACAAAGAAGTATACAAATGCGAATATTCTTTGATTTTCTTTTATTCTTAGAGTATATTCTTAGAAGTTTTTAAGCGAACGTCATTTTTGAATTCGCATACGAACGTTATTGGTACTCTCTTTTATTTTTCCAAGCGAATCTAGTTGGTCAACCAAAGTAAGTTTCTAAAACGATGTAAATGAATTATATGTATTAACTTGGATTTCAATTTCAATAAATAGTTTTTTAAAGCTGCTGTAACTGCTCAAATTTAAAGAGTGCAACACGATTGTTTTAACTGGGCGGACAGCTACTGTGAACGTTGGTGAACCAACACTGATTTTTCAAAATTTGTACTGATTTGTACTGAATTTTCTATTCAAACAAAATACTTTAGTATTTTCTAAAGGTTTTTAAATAACATTGGAACTTGCTTAAACTGTGCTGTAAAAAATAAGAAGAAAATAATTTAATTATAGTTGACATGTTTTAGATAATGTTTGATATGCCCAAGAAATTAATACAACAAAAAGATCAATCGTTTTATGGGCATATCGCCGGGTCGTTACGTACCAGTTGCGATTATATGATGGCGCATAAATTATATACAACAATTTTTTAAATTGTTAAATTATTTAAAAAGAAGGCATACATTTTTCTCGAGTGTTGTTAATTATCTCGAAAATAACTTTCAGTTTAATAACAATAAATTTCAGTATTCGAATGGCTCTTGCCTTTAACCTACAACTCCTTTTTCTCAATTTACTGACTCTGTAAAAGAGTCTTGCATACAAGACATAGAGTTAGATACACTTTTTAGCGAATTCTTAGTCTTTCACAGTTTTTGCGTAGTTGAAAAATTATTTAAGCCATGAGGAAATATAGGTGAACTCCTTAAAAAGTGGTACTTTTTTACAGTATGAGAGGATCTTAAGAATAAAGTTTGTTTCCTGGCGCAAAGAGAGAAACCGGCTTCTAATTCAAATTTTTGAAAGTGAACTTCAAAGTAATTTTAAAATTAAATGTATAGAATTCTTTGACTATTTAAACACTGAAAATGGGAATGATCTCATTATTGCTGTTCAAAAATGTCATAAATGTGAAATAATTTATTGAGTCCTGTGTACGATGATGTGTACACTCATGTTAAAATGAATAACATTTTTATATTTTATGAACTACAAGTGAACCCGTATGGCGTTTTTATTTAAAATAGTTTTTTTTATAAAACAAAGGTATTTTTTCCTTTTAAATGTTTTTTCTCAGATTTATACATACGAAGTATACAAATTGCATATCAGAAAAAAGCGGGTTTAATCACGTTTACGACGGTATTAGTTTTTTTTAAATCAGTTCAAACTTGTTTGAAATATAAGGTTTTTAATTTTTTGAAGACCCGACCTTTGAACCCTTATAGCACCTGTAACATAGAAAAAGTTATATATCGTTTAAATAATACCACCTATGTTATTCGACATGCTGAATGCGTATCCGAGGTCAGTTAGCCTCCATCACGTCAGGTTCGTGGTCATTTGAAGGTCAAGTAGGGAAAAATTCATTGAATAAACCTGAAAATTCAATAAAATTCATCGGAATTCGACGTTGGGATGACCTTGGCATGACCTCCAGATGACCTTGAGGAATCAAGGGACCTCCATACTCGGTTTCAGTGACAACAAAAACATTTTTTTTTTTAATTTTTGTTGAATAAATTTTATTTCCTATTTGACCTTCAAATGACCTCGAAGCTGACACTATGGAGGTTAACGGACCTCGGACTCGGGTTCAGCTAATGTATAACCTTATGTTGTATATGAATTTTCAGGTTTATTCAATGAATTTTTCCCTACTTGACCTTCAACTGACCACGAACCTGACGTGGTGGACACTAACGGACTTCGGATTCGCATTCAGCGTGTCGAATAACATAGGGATATATAGGTTTGGTTTAATATGCATAAGCTTTTTTTTTGGAAACCAGTGTAATTTTTTACCAATGGTCCAATTTCGAACTTCCAACGGAGAAATTGCTTTTTTACCTATGACTCAATCTCTTAAAAAAAGTTGGTTTGGTCCAATACCCAGAAAAAAAAATTGATTTTGTCGTACAGTGTTATTGCTATTCAAAAAGTCACAAATATAAAATAATTTATTGGCTCCTGTGTATAATGATGTGTAAACTCATGTTAAAATGAATAACACTTTATTTTTTATGAACTATATTTTATTTATATACCAAAATATTGTTAAAAACCAGAACTCAGGCGTTTTAAATTATTTTGTGTTACTTACATTCATAATTTTGCTTTGAATAAAAATGTACTGAAAAGTACTGATTTTTTTTTTCATGAAAAAGTCTAATCCGCTGTAACCCTAACCCGGCGCAAGTATTAAATATATGTTTTTCATCTTTCCGAAAGCTACCGCTACATGGTAAGCCGGGGTGTATCAATTTTGTGTAAATTTGCGTCCTTAAATTTCGAAATATTGAAGTTTCAAGCATTTCTGGAATTTACCGTTATATGAAAAGCGACCGTAATTTTAGTTCGATTTCAATAATTTTTAACCATTTGCCTTTATGTGGCAATCACAATAACCATACCGAGTTTGGTAGAAATTGGTAGAACGGTTACCGATAAGTGGATAATGATCATAAGTGGGTGGTGCTACGCCCATTTTTCAAAATTTTACCATAAGCGTATTTCTTGGTAAAGAATTGTTGCAAGCATAAATTTTGAATAAATTAGCTTTAATATTTACTGATTTATCGAAGATTTCGTATTTCTCTAAATTACCGTTATATGGGATGTGGGCGTGGTTATTGTCCGATTTTAAAATTTATTGACCATTTGGTATGCTGCACCAAGGCCAACAACTGTTTGGAAGAATTGGTGCAGCGGTTACCAAGATATACACATATAACCATAAGTGGGCGTGGCTACACTTTTTAAATAATATTAATTCTTGTAAAAATGACTTACCATTGCACCAAATATTTTTTTTTAATAAAGTTTTTCTTTACTTGTTTATGTATTTAAATAACGCTACGATTTTGGTTTGAGTCTATGTGTACTTCATTAAATATTGTTATTCAAGTATTTCTGTAGGTTAACAAGAGGATGTAACTACATCAGTAATTATGTTCGCTTAAGTACCCACATTGAGGTACTTAATCGGGTTCTTTTAAGTACCCAACCCGCCTAAGTACCTCAAAAAGCTGACATTTTTCGTGAGGTAATTAAGCGGGTTTCACTGTAGTAACATCACAAATTTGTAGGATAATTTCCTCGCGATTTTTACCCTGTGAAGTCTGTTAAATTTTAGTATAATAAAGTGCAATTTTAAATCGCCAAGGTTAACCATTAATTTTTGGATTTTTTTTTTTTTGTTGCCGGTGTTACGCATTCTTTTCATACAAAGTAAGTATGTTTGACTATTTTTTAACTTTAATTTTAATGAGTTACAAAACGGCAAACCAAATTTTTTTCTAAAGATTCTATTTAATTAAAACGATTGCAATTTTTGTGAATCCTTGCAGAATTAATTTTTATAGTTTTTTGCACAAAGTTGAAAAATTGTATTATACTGTATATAATAATATATATTATTATTATTTGTTAGGAACGGAGCTTTACTTTATTAAAATAAATAATAGACATTAAATAAATCAAGGAAATATAGCCATAACTTACTAAAATATCGAGTCCTAATTTCTATTTTGGTCACTGTATGTATTCCTCGCGCCGAATCACAGACATTTAGATAAGAAAATAACTGTTTATGGAGAAAACTAGGATCATATACCAACATCACTTAAACTCATTCATAGGCATGCCATTTTAATAAGCTGTAAAGGGGTCGAAACACCGAATACTGGGCAAATACAGGACATTAAGAGAAATACAGAACATTTGGCGTCCCGTATAAAATAAATAAATTGCCAGGACATCTGCACGATTTTTCGTACAGCAAATTTAAATATTGATAACAAATTATTAAATGAACTGAGGTACAATTTATATTCTTAAAACATAAATATGATCTATTGTTTGTCAAAAATAGTTGAAATGTATACAATTTCTCTTTCCTAAATGTTGTATTTTAGCACTTTCCGAAACTCTTTTTTTTAGAGATTTTCAAAACAATTGTTATTAAATAATATTAATCGCCTTTTTTAAATTTTAGCACAACAATAGCAGAAAAAAATAAAACATATTTATATTATGATGTTCTCTTTGGGGTACTTCTTACCCACGAAAAGCTTCGCGGGTTATAATATGTGTGTACGAAAAATCATACGTTGGCCTATTTCTAAGCAATTTGAAAGAAAAATCTTGGAAGTGTAATGTCCATGTAACGAAAACAAACTTTTGACAATCAGCTGTTATT